TTAATGTTTTATGTTTTAAAACACAACACTTATTAATTAAGCGCTCTCTAAATAGCGCTATCTAATGCCACTTTTGGTGTAGTGTACAACGGGTGATCAAATTGATATAAGCATTAGGAGAATAATCAAATACAAGTAATGAAACGAAATGCATATATATTCAAGAAGAAGAAGAGTTAGTAGTTACACCAGATCCAATCCTAAAGAGTCTAGCCACTCATGGCCATTACAAGATCAAAGGAAAAGAAAAAGAAATTACAAAGGAAAAGATGGAGAAAAAGAGTTCATCCTCGTTCCCAAGTGATCCACCTCAGACCTTCAAACCTTGTTTTTCCTTCCTCAAGAGCTTTCTCTTTGTTCTCTCTGTTCAACTCGTGATCCTCTATCTCTCTCCTCAATCCCCTTTTATATTGGCCTTCAAAACAGGGGAAAAATGAAAATTTTGAGTCCAGTGCCGCAGCTATGAAACCACGGCCATGGCTGTGGAGAGTTCTTCATGTTGAAGTAAGCTTCTCCGCTGCAGTTGTGGAATCACAGCCATGGCTGTGAAGACTCCTTCATGTTTAAGCAACTTCCAACACTGTAGTTGTGGAATCCACAACCATGGCTGTGACTCTCTAGAACTCCTCTTGATCTTCAATGCTCCATGGCTCTAGTTGTGAGCCCATAGCTATGGCTGTAGAATTATGTCTTCCTCAATTTTTCTGCAAACAAGGGAGAAAATTACCATTAAATTTCTACTACTCTTCTATCTTCTAATATAAACTTGGTTTTTCCTATTTAAGGGTAAATTATCATAAATATATTTACAATTTATCCAAAAAAGAGTGCCAAATGCTCAATCAAATACATGAATAATAAGCACTCAACATTCCTCCTTATCTTTTGCAACACCTAGAAATATATAAGATCACATACGTTAAAAGTGTTTCTTACACCATAATCCTTAAGGAGCTCTAAACCTATATGAATTATTTTCAATTCTTTGGAGGACTTGAAAAGGACCATTTCCTCTAGGATGAAGTTTGAACTTCCTTTTAGTAGGGAACCTCTCTTTCCTAAGGTGAAGCAAAACCTAGTCACCTTCTTCAAAGATGATCTTTTTTTTTTCCTTTGTTGTTATATTTTGTATATTTTTGTTGTTGTTATATTCAGGTTTTAACCTTCTCATGTAACTTCTTGACAAACTCAACCATAGATGCCTCTTTTTATGTAATTCTTTTAGTTAAACAATGTGGTACTGGTATAGGATTATGTGGTGTGGTTACTACATCTGCTATTTGGCTGTTAGGAAGAGGTTTGTGGTGTTTTAGGTTCTAACTCAGTTTGTGGTAGAGTGTAATCAAAAGGTTCCATAGGAATAAAGGTTGGCAAGGGAATACTAGAATTGGAAGATGACATTCTAAGATACTGACAATTCTCTAGTCTTGAGATCATAGACAATATAACCTTTTGTGCCACTTTTATATCCCATAAAAGTTACACCTTGTGGCTCTAGGATCAAATTTAGTCCAATGACTAACAAGTGTGAAGGAGAAACAAAGTGAACCAAAGACCTTGAGTTGAGTCAGGTCAGGAAGACATTTATATAGGAGTTGATAAGGGCACTTGTTATCCAAGACTGGTGTAGGGATTCTATTGATGAGATAAACTGAGTGCATAACTGCATAAAACCAAAATTTTTTGGGAAGGTCAACTTGAAATAATAAGGCTCTAGCAATATTGAGAATATGCTGGTGTTTCCTCTCTACTATGGAGTTTAGGGTTTAGGGTTTAGGGTTTAAGGTTTATGGTTTAAAACTAGTTTTCTACCAATGCACAAAAGGCTTGATTTAAATGTCCAACTTCTACCTTATTCTTTAGTAAATAAATCCAAGTGTGTCTAGAGTAGTCATCCACTATGGCAAGGAAATAAGAATGACCATGTATGGACATTACAAAAATTGGACCCCAAATATCAGCATGAATAAACTCAAATATTGTAGTGGTAAAGGAAGAACTTAAGGGAAAACTCAATTTTCTTTGTTTTGCAATATAACATATATCAAAAACGTGATTTTTATTACAATAAATGAAATGATACATTTCACTAATTGCTTGTCTTCTATCAAAAGACGGATGACCCAACCTATAGTGCCATAAATTGGACAAACTAAAAGGAAAATTACAAGAAAAAATTTCTGAAATGGTGTTGTAAACAAAGCTGGAGAGTTTGTTGCAAACAACAGTGGATTGAGAAGACTCAACTGTCTGTATGAAAATGTTTAGGCCTCTTTCTGCTTTAGCTGTGCCAATCATCTTGCAAGCATTGGAATCCTATATTAAACAAATCTCATCAAGGAAAGTCAATTTACAATGAAGGGTTTGTGTTAATTGTGTAACTGATATCAGATTGAATTTGAAGCTTGGTAGAAATAAAACATCAGGCAAAACAAAACTGGATGAAAGATGCATTGTGCCAGAAATGGTGGTTGAAACTAAGATTCCATTGGGCATGGACACTTTGATATGTGGTATGTGCTTGTATGCAACAAAGTAAATGAGGGAATTTGAGATGTGGTCCGTGGCACTAGTGTCTAGGATCCAACTAGAGATTAGTACATTACCATTGCTTGTTGGATTTGAATTAGTACAAGCGTTCAAATGAGCAGTATGTTGTGTGGAGTCCCTTTGATCTTACTATGGCAATGAAGCTAATAAACTCTGATATTGGTTTATAGTAAAACCAAACCACACACTTTCTTATGTGTCCTTTCTTAAAACCAGTAGGGAAATCATGCTTTCTATAACAAACGTCAATTGTGTGACCCATTTTTCCACACCACGAACATTTCTTCGAAGTGTATCTATTATTCTAACCATTACCGTTCCCTTGATTTCTCTTGGAGTGTGATGCATCATCACTAGCCACAATAAGAGCCTTTGGCATAAAAGCATTCTTAGTGGCAAACTGTCGTTCTTGTTGAGCAATCAATACAAAAACTTAGTTCACATTGGGAAGATTATCTAAGAGCATCAATTGTGATCTAACACCTGAATATTGATCATTCATCTCTCATAAGAACCTAACCACTTGATTCTAATTTCGCTCCTCTTTAATTTTCTTGATTGCACCACATGAACATTTAGGGTTGCATGTACGAACAAGAAGGGGATCCAAAACATCTAATTCATCCCACGGTGTTTTTAGTGCAGTGTAAAATTGAGACAGAGTTATCACCTTGCCTCTGGTTGAAGATTTCCTCTTAAATTCCTGAGATTCTAAACAAATCCGCATGGGAAAAACGCTCACGGAGCTCCTTCCACACATTTGAAGCCTTCTCACGCCAAACAATGGATTGCGCAATCTCCACGCTCATCGACTTTATTAGCCAATTAAGAACAAGCATGTTACCTTGTTCCTAGAAAGAAAAAATTGCATGATTCATCGGTGGTTTTGCAATTATGCCATCAATGAATCCTAGCTTGTTCTTTGTCAACAAGCTTATCTTTGTCGCACGAGACCAACTATGATAATTCTCATTTGTAAGGGGTGGTGAAACAAGGATGGTGGAGGGACTCTCGTTTGGGTGTATATATATAAGGGATTCAATGCATTCTGTGCATCTTGCAAAGTATAGGGGTATGTGGCTGCATTAGTCATTGATGTGCGTAGTGGAGCTCTTTCTAAGAAAGCTCTGATACCATAATAAATTAACAATTGAAATTTGAATAGATAAAAAATCAATCTTATTAATTGAGTAACCAACCAAGGGTTACATATATACATGAAACTTAAAAACGGAAAGGAAGCAACAAAGCTGGAAATAAGGAAACAGAATAAACAGTAGCTTGAGATAAGCAAGTTGCTGACACTGACACTGTAACAAATGCTAATTAACTATAAACTAATTTGACCATGTGTATTAATTAGAATTAGAGAGCGAAAAAGTCTTAGCAAAACCAGACCTGATATCTGTATTTCGTTACTCGGGTGATGATATCACAATGGGTATCTATACTCTAAACCTAATCTGAAAGAATTACAGCTATTGAGGCAACAGTAGTCAGCAACTGAATTCTGTTATTGAGAATACAATTGATATACAGCAATAAAAGTGCCAGATAAGTCTATTCCTAAGATGCACGACCTCAATATTTTGTTGCCAATTCTCAGTGATTTGAACTTGTTCAGATTAGTTTTTGCTGGCTCCAAGGTTTCAAAACGAGAGGGATAGTGTGTTCAACGCAGTATAAGTGGGCACTAGGCCGTGAAAGAAATAGTACAAGGTAATGAATGAATTAACAATAAAAAATTATAAATAAATAAAAATTTTAAAAAAAAAAGACCATAGTGATAGGAAGAGAAGGACAAGTTCCACAGCCACCAGAGCCATTTAATTACCGAAATCTACATCGTTGAGATAACACTCCTTTTCACTACTAAGATAACAAAAAATTTCGAGCCCTAAGAAAGGATGCGAAATGGATTTTGAATCTCTTATAGCCGCAGAAAACCAAGTTCAATCAGTCATCAAAGCGTAAAAATTTAACTGCAACATTGGCTCAGTTGATGCTCCACGATTGGGGTTCAAAAGGATTTTTACTTCGAAACCTTTTCTTGTTTATTGATTCCATATAGCACCCAAAAGAAAGTCTAATGGAGTATTTGTGGTGTTGGATTGTCTGTAATCTCAAACAATAAACTTGTATTTCTATCAACAGATGAACATTTCTTCTGGATACAAGAAAAACAAGGTTAGAAGGAATTCAATTTTCTAATAAAATTCTCTAAACAATTATTGGGTACTTTCTCAATAATAGTAACCGTGCATCAATGTGGTGCTAATACTCCAAATGATACGTTTCATCTGTGAAATTGCTTCACGGTTCCACTCCAACGGGAAAATGGCTATATAAAGACACCGTGTGACAAGGAGTGGTGCTAATTATCATTTTTCAGCACCTAGGTCACCAATCACAACAGATTACAACTGCGTAATTGTCGACACTAAAATGTCTTTCGGAAAAACTTTATCAGAATAAATCGTACTCAAATAGGAAAGCTTGTACAATCGCAGTTAGTTATTAATTAAAAACATTGCTCAAGCAAAGCTGGAGATTCCTTCTGCAGAGCACAGACACACAAAAATAAAATAGAGAAAACACGGCTCCTAGAATTCACATTATGAACATTATCCGAGTATTTATGGAGGAAAAAAGGAAAAGTAGCTCTAAATAATGCATGAGGAACTATTTTTGAACTTGAAACATCCAATCACAGTAGAATAAAACCTCTGGCAGATTTGCAGAACATTATCTAAATATTCTTCAGCTTTCAGAACTAAATCAAAACAATGAACCACCTACAACCTTAGGAATGATGAACCTACAGATATAATTATGATCTGAGCTTTTGATGTTCTATCTATTTTGTTTGACAGCAACCAAACGATAATTCTAGCAACCTTGTGCAAGTAATCGCAGGCATCTGAGCTCAAAGCTTGGAAGGCTTTGGGAAGATATCCGGAGTAAATTTCTGAGCAGCACTCAAACTTCCCTTAACCTTCATTGCACCCCTACATCCATTCACCATCACATCAGATACGAACACATGAATGCATTAAAAATAAATAAATAAACAAACAAGGGAAGTTAAAGCAACCAAAAACATTGATTTTGGAAGGAAAAAATCCATTGAAAGGTTGAACCTCATGAAGGCAATCTGCGGATTCATCTTCCCCAAGGCAACCTTAACAAAGTCCTCATCCTTAAACGAAAAAGATGCATCAGGCTTTCCTCCTTCATATGGCCCTAAATACACACAAATCCAAATAATTAAAGTCATACATTAGAGCATTGTTGGAGAACACAATAAAATTGGCCAAATTAAGTAGAATTGTGGAAATAAGATTGTAGGAAACATATAATTTGTAGCAAAACTGTAAAGTTATTGATTAATCTCTGGCTATTAAGACAAACAACCTACAATCAAAAAGATTGAAATCATTTAGTACTCAAGAGGCTAGTGTAGAGAAGCTTTTTTTCGGTAAAGATAAGAAAGATAGTCGCAATAGAGATTGAACTTAGATTCTCATGTTTCTACTACCTTAACCCCATTAAAATAAGTATCTTAGTGCTATTCATGAATTGAAATTAAAAGTTTTTCCATTTAAAAAAAAATTACACTAACAATACTATATATCAATTAAACTCTACTTGATTATAAGTTCAGTAATACTTGTAATAAAAAATCATGATAAGCATGTTTGACTTTTAAGTTAATTAATACAAACGTCAACAAACTTACTTATTGCATATGAAAATTGGTTTTTAAATGATAGTGCGTAAGCTATTTTCTCAAAATAAAATATAAGGTTTAAATATGTTTTTAGTTTTTCAAATATATGGTAAATTTAGGTCCTCAAATTTAAGTTTGATCTTTTTAGTTTCTGTAATTTAAAAAGGGTTAGCTTTAGTTTCTCAGGACTAGTAGTAGTAGCACCAGTGATAGTGATAGATTGAACATATGCAGATTTGAAGTAATGATTTTACTAACAAATACACAAATAGATAGAATTTGTATGAAAAATTTAGTAACAGTTTCAGTAATCAGTGAGTTTTGTTTGTCACATAGCTGAGAACTAAAATAAGCTTTTTTTCAAATTACAGGAAATAATAAGATAAATTTTAAATTTGAGCGGTTTAAAACAAATTTAGACTGACAACATCTTTAAGCCAAATTTTAATTTTTATTATATAACCAGTTAAACCTTGTATGAAACTATAGTCCGCTCTATCTACTAATCACAAAAGATTTGGCAGCAACCAAACAGCAAAATATGAGAGGAAAATTCCGAAACCCTGATCCATCTATAAAAACACATGATTTCACAATCATCCGCGTCAGAGTTTCCGTAACATGAACACGGCATTTTATTTCAAGTCGCAGAGTGAATTAAAAGGTTGATGATGATTCACGAGATTGAGATGCGCGTCTTCGGTAGCAAATTATACTGAAGACCTAATAAGGAATTGAAAAGTCAGCTAACCTTTGGTGACCTCTCCCTTCTTGAGATCAACGGTGTAGACGACCTCGTCGAATCCAAGTTTCTAGAAATTAAAGTCATGTTGAATGAGAGGAAGAATTAGGTCAAACGAAAACAGAAGAAGAATAAGGAATGATACCTGAGGAGCGATGTGAATCTGATAAACGAGTCCAATTTTTTTGGTGATTTCTTTGCCTGCGTCGGAAGCGAGGTGGTGCTTCATCTGCTCCAACAAGGCGTCGGATTTGAGGTTGGAAGAATCGGCCATGGCTTCCGCGTGACGAAGCGAAACCTGCGAGTTGGGGTTTGGTTTATGGAGTAATTAGTGTGGGAGTTGGGCAGCATCTGATTTCAAGTTTGAAGTAAGACGTCTTTTATATAATCGTTTCGTTGCCTTCTCTGTTTCGTTACGTTAGGTGTGTTGTGCATTGAAATTGAAAGCGTTGGATTAGAATTAAGAAGGTGGGTGAGTAACGATACAAGACACCTAACTCGGACTCGGTTGTGATGTGAGAATAGGATAAGACTGGGTTCAGATTGGATTCGATGAGGCCCATCCATCCCACGCGTTACGATGTAGATCGGACCAGTCCCTAAGACCCATACTTTCTTTTTTTTTTCTTCCTTTTTATATAATAAAGACTCTTACTTTATTTATAAATAAAAAAACTATGAAAATCGTGATAAAAAAAATTTTCACTACTTATTACTCTATTTAATGAACAGTTAGGCTAACTTGATTACTCTGTTTTATTATATATAAACTTCATGTTTGTTAATATTAAATATAAGGGAACTTTCTATTTAATGTTACCATCTCGAAAATTCATCTTTTTTTAATTAAGATTATATTTTTAATGCTTCTATTTATTTTTTATACCAAGTTTTTAGGGAATGATAATTTAGAAAATAAATTATTTTTTAGATGAAATTAGAAAAATTAAATTATGTAAACCACCTTTCATAATTATATTAAATAATATTATTTTTTTATATTCAGAATAAGAATATATATATATATATAAGCCGATTCAAGTGAGAATGCTTGTTAGTATGAATATATGAAAAGTAACAGCAACTCTTAAATTAAAATAAATAATTTGTATTAAAAATATTACAAATAAAGTTATCATGTACTACCAATGATAATTGTCAAATATGTAGATCTAGGTAAAATGTTGATAATATTTATTATTGAAGAACTGGAATAAATCTTATTGGTCGGCTTTTGGTCCTTAACCTTAATGTAGGCTTGTTTAACAAAAATTATCAAAGAATTGAGATTTCTCTTAAATAACCTAAAATTTCTTACTTAAAAAATTATGGTTTAAATATAATTGTGAACTATTGAATTAATTGCATGATTACAACATTGACTAAAAATTGGGGAGGATTTACATGGAAAAGGTTATTGAAATCAATCTCTAACTACTCGTATCATTATTTAAATTCAAATTCTTTATTGCTTTGTTACATGTTTTTCTATAAATTTTCATATTTCATTATAAACAATTTAAAATTCTTTTCGTTCATTTGTTTAGTACCAAAATTATATGAACTTTAAGTCCTTGTGGATTCAATACTTAGACTTTTATCGTTTTTACTACCTACGATAACTGGTATACTTGTCAAATGTGTATCAATTACCATCGTAGTTTTTTTAATCATTGTTGTCATTATCTCCATCACTTTCACCTGTACCGTACTTTCACTACATCACAACCACTATTATCATTATTGTCATTGTCATCATTATTATTGTCATCATCATCACCTCCAGTGGTGGTGATGGTGGTGGTAGTAGTGATGGTGGTGGTGATTATAATGATGGTGGTGGTTTGTTCTTACCTGCGATCGGTCATAGGGACGATCTGCTGGGCAAGATTGGTGAGTCTCCTTTGCTGAGTACGCTTGCTGCTCCAAAGTAGGAGTGGTACCTGCAAAAGAGACTCCGATGCCAAAGTTAGTGTTTGTGGATGTATGTGTCTTGTATAAGTAATGCACGTACCTTAGTGTGAATTAGGATTTTTCTGGGCCTTGGGCCCGAGATCAGTTATAGTCTATTCAGATAATGGGCCTCTATCTTGGCCAATGTCGTGTGACACATGTCCGATGTCAATCTGCGCTATGAAGCCGAGCTCAAGCTCGGCTTCGCGGTAAGGATAGTACACTAGCCCCCCAAGCTCCGAAGACCGTGGATCGAGGAGTTAATATCGAGCTTGCTGGAGGGTCATGACTCTTCGCGTGCGTTCCTCTGACGTGACGCCATGTGTCATGAATGTCACCTCGTTCCCATAAGGCGTGGGCGGCGTGTTAATGGGAGGTGACGGTTATGTAATGATGGGCGCACTTTGTCATAATAGGCCTCATTTAATGTGTCGTCAGTTGTGTCTCCTTCCTCCACGTGTCACTTTCGTTTCAATTTTGGAGACTTCTTTTTCCCTCTCTCTTTCGCACCCCTCTTACCTTCACTTTACTCTTTCTTTTGTTTTGGCTTCTCGTGCACGCCGATGCTCCCTCTGTCCCTTTCCTTTCTCATATTCTCCGTTTGTCCTTGTCGCCGCCATTTTTGGCACCCAGGCCGCCGTTAAGGTCATTGTTTGAGGAGGAGTACTAGGTACTTCCTTTCTACTGCTTTCTCTTTCGCTCTTTCTCTCCTCCGGGTTCCTTCCTCTTTCTTCTTCGTCTTTCCCCTTTTTCGAGTCTTTTCCATTTTTGATGGCTGGTGAGAGTAGTGTCGCACCTTCTGCGCCGGCCAAGGGCAAGGCGCGCGATAAGGCGGTGGCCGACGAGACGGTCGTCGCTGAAAAGAAAAGGGGTG